CCCTGGTACCAAAAAAAAAAAAAAAGGTAAGTTGCTTAATTTCCATGTATTTGCATAGTGTTCAAAGTTTTTCTTGCTATTAATTTCTAGTTTTATTGCACTATGATCAGGAAAGATACTGGATCTTTCAATTTTTAAAAATTTGCTGAGATTAGTTTACGCCCTTTCATATGATCTTTCAGGAGCATGTTCCATGTGCTGAAGCAAAAACTGTGAATTCAGCAGCCATTGGATGGAAGACTCAGTAGATGATTGTTGATTTTCTGTTAGGATAAGCAGTCCAGCACTGAAAAACAGGGTATTACAGTCCCTGACATTATTGGTCACTGGTCTGTTTCTTCCTTAAGGTAGTCTCATGTTTGCTTTATATAGCTGCTATTCTGCTATGGGTCTGTACATTTAGAACTGTTACTTCCTTTTGCTGGATCCAACCCTATACCCTTATATGATGATCTTGTCCCTTTTTACCCCTTTACCTTAAAGTCTATTTTATTTGATACAGGTTTGGCTAGTTCTGCTTTCTTTTGGACTGCATTTGCACACACTATCTTATTCCATTTCTTCCCTTTTATTCTACATTTGTATTTAGAGGTGAAGTGGGATTCTTGTAGGCAACATAGCTTTTCTTTATCAATTCAGTTTTTCTATGCCTTTTAGAGAATTTAATCCATATAAATCAAGGTTATTACTGATATAAAAATTCTTATGATAGCCACTTTGTAACTTGTTCTTCAGCCCTGCTGTAGCTCCTTTCTCCCCCCTTACAGACTGCTTCTGTGGCTGAGTGATTAACTCCCATCCTGTGTTTTGATTATTACTTCTGCACTGTCTGCTACAGATTTGGGCTTGACGCTTACCATGAGGGTTATAGAAAACATCTTTTGATTATAAAAGTCTATTTTGAAATGGTAACAACTGAATATGATTGTAAAAATAAGTATAGACACAAGCAAAAAAGAATGAGAGAATACTCCACTTGTATTTTACATTCCTCCTTACACTTGTTTTTGATAGCACATTCTCTTTTGATACCGACATCCTCTTAACACAAAGTAGTTATTCTTTTTAATAATTTTGGTTTCTAGTCTTCTTACTGAAGACTGGCATATGTACCATGCTCATATTAAAACACCTTGAATTTCTTCGTGTAATTACTCTTAGCAGTGAGTTTTATATCTTCCCATGTTTTCTTCGTACTCATTAACATCTTTTTTCTCAGTTTGAATAACTTACATCAGCAATTCTTGTAGAGGATAAATTCTCTCATCTTTGTTTGTAAAGGTCAGCTTTGCTAGATGCAGTATTCTTGATTGGTAGCTTATTCCTTTAATACTGTGAGAATCTCATGCCATTCTCTCCTGGCCTATAAGGTATCTGCTGAGAAGTTGGCTGTCAGCCAAACTGAGACATGTGCATGTGCTATTTGTTTCTTTTAATCTTCATCTTTTACTTGCGAGACTTGACTATGTCTTGGGGCATATCTTTGTTGAATTAAATTTGACTATTCACCTCTGACTTTCTTGTACTTGGATATTTGTATCCTTTGGGTTGGGAAAACTTTCTGTCATTATTTCTTTGAGTAAGCTTTGGCATTCTCAATTTTTTCCTGAACCCCAATAACCTGAATATTTGCTCTTTTAAAACTGTTCCAAAATTTCAGTAAGCTTTCTTCATTCCTTTTCATTTTTTTTTCTCCTCTGGTTGAGTATTTTCAAATAGCCTATCTTCGAGCTCACAAATTCTTTCTTCTGCTTGATCTGTCCTGCTACTGATGTCTTCTAAATCAGCAGTTTTAAATTCTCTCATACTGATTTCTATCTGGTCAGTTTCTGGCACCTTAGAGTATTAAGTGAGGTCATGGTTTTCTCAATGCTCTTGATGTTTGTTGGCATCGAACATCTTGGCATTAAAGGATTAGGTTTTTAGTCCGATCTTTCAAATCTGGCTTTGTTTGTGCCTCGCTTTCCAGAAATTCTAAGCAGGATGTTTATTTTAGTGAACCTGTACTCACTGCCACTCCTTTCAGCACTGAACGGCAGTCAGGTCCAGATTTTCTGGGAGTCTGCTATTTGTATGTTGTCACTGATGCAGTATTAGAGGGTAGTCCAAGTTCAGTTGGTGTGCTGTTCAGAATGAACCAGGAGAGCTCCAAGAAAGTGAAGACTGTTCCCATAAACTTCTTCCTAGGGCTGGCATACATCCAGATGCCTCCTTAGTAATTAGGGTTTATGACCAGCTCTAGGTGGTATCAAAATGAAGGGACCAGCCCTAGGCTTCTGTCACGGCTGTAGCCACCTGTGCCCCAGCTTGCTAAGACCAGTACAATACTGAGAAGCGTAGGGCCCAGGCCCACACTATGGGTTATGTTACTGAGGTGCCTCTGTGGCCTAACACTGGTACCATCAGCATAGGCAATGCTAGCTGAAGGGAGGTCAGTGACTGGGGCTGCAAGCCTTCTCTGGACACTGGAGGTGTTCAGAAGCTTCATGTGTGGCAAGTCTGGGGCTGCGGCCTTTGGGTTCTGCCCAGTGTTAGGTTCAGGGCACAGTTTTGTCTACCACCCCATCCTGCCCCTGGCCAGTGAGGCCCGGTGCCCTTCTGTGCTGACTGGAGTTGAAGTGTTGTTGAAGAGGCTGATCACATGCAGGCCAGGCCTATGCTTGGTCATGCCTGAGTCTCTCAGTCTCAGGGGTGCATGGAAGCCCACGCCACAGTTCACCGTGATGCAGGCTGTCACGTGAGTTCACCCCACTGGCATGCCCGGTGCTGGGGCAGTCCTAGTGCTCTGCCTGCGAGCACTGACCTGCTGTGTTCCCTGGAGTTGGTGGTGGATACAATACCTTGGACACCGTGCTGATAGCACGCCGAGACACATTTAAGAGCTGCAGGGGCCTGCACTGTCTTGGAGGGTGTCCTGGGCCCTCTCCATGGGTGGAAATAATGCAGGGCAAATCTCAAGTCTATCCTCCCTGCACACAGGTCTCTGCCTGATGCCACACCTAGTCTGTGACCTCTGCGACCAGGTGACCTGTGCAGGGGCCTTCATTTCTAACAGATGCCATGTCTCACTGGGTTGGGGCTGGCACTGAGCTCCAGGACAAAGCTCTGTGCTAGCTTTCATGCCTCTAGTGAGTGGGGTCTTGCTCCTTGGTTGTGGGAGGAATGATGGAGCCTGTCAGCTGCCTGGCCTAGTTCAGATCCAATGGCTCCATCAGCAGGTATTGGCCTTGCAGTAGAGGTCATGGGCTTTGGTTTCACCACAGTGAGCTTGGTCCTAGGTTTCAAGTATAAGGCCTGAACTTAATCCATTCTCCTTCTCCCAAGCAGGAGGTTTATTTCAGGTCCTGCTTTTTTATTATGGGAAAAACTACTGTGTTCTATGAAAACTCAGAAAACATTTTTTTAAAAAAATGGAAGTGGCAGGATTCAGACTCAGAGGACTCAAGTGCTCACTGAATTAAGAGGATGGCCTGTCCAAGTCATACAGACTCATCTTTCAACCTTGGCTCAAACACAGGCAAATTAGATAAACTTTGGAACTTTCGATTCAGGGTTTTTTTTTTTTAGGTTCAAATCTAGGGCTGTAAGAAGTATAGAATGATTCCTCCCTCATGGAATTATTATGAAGAATAAAATGAGATGATATATATATATAGTATACCACAGTGCCTGGCATGTAAAGACTAATCCATAATTGGTACTATGATAGCTAAGACTTCTAAAGCTGTATATTACTAGGAACCTAGAAATATGTAACTTTCAATAGTATTTCTGTGGAAAGACAGTATTGCTATGTACTCTCATTGAAAACAGACATTTTTCGTTAGAACAATATGGCAATATAGATTAGGGTACCAGTAGCAGTATAGTGGTAGTAGTAAAGTACTAATAATTTAATATACATCAAAATAATATACACACCATAACTATAAAATGTTCTCACTGTCTTGAAATTAGAGTGGTCAGTCTTTAGATGGCTGTCAGATACTAGATATAATTACGTAAGAGTGTATTTTAGGACATAACTAATACTCAGATACTTCTCTACTATGATCAGTCAAGACAAATCATCAAGACTGATCTTCATTTAACATCCAAAGTGAATGCTACTATTAGCCCTGGACTGCTGAAACAAAGATTTTCGGACACTTAAAATGGCCTATACCAAAAAGTTTTAAAGTCATCATCTGACTGCATTTTTAGTAATCACATACAGTTTGCTCAGTTCATGCAGACATAAGGATAAGGAAATACATGTATTGGAAGGGAATGTTCATCTCCACTCCTAACCTTCGTGAGGAAACTTTCCTAAGCATGTTTCTGACTTTTCTTGTCCTTTTAGTCACTCTACCCTGGGAAGTAGAGAGACTTATGAGTACGTTTGGCAAGATGTAGCCTTGTCCTTCCTTCTTGAGAAAAAGGCCTGTACTCGTTCAAAACTGCTCAGCTCTAGGTATGTTCTCTGTGTACAGCTAGGTATTTTTGTTTTGTCTTGGTCTGTTTGGTTTTCATTTTAAGCTCTGGTCTTTGACCTGTCCTTTATTTAAAAAGTTGCATTTTTTGGCTTCTGCTTTTTTTGGTACTGGGGATTGAACTCGGGTCCTTGTGCCTGCGCAGCAGGTGGCAAAACCACTGAGCTAAATCCCCAGACCACCTCTGCTTTATTTTTAACCTGCTTAGAATACCAGATGGAGAGGGAGGGCATCTGATTGTTTCATGTATCTTCATACCTGAAAGGTGACATCATGTCTGACTTTTCTTAATCAAAGTGTTGAGCCTCTAGTAAACAAAAGTTCCAAATCCTACAAAGTCCATCTGACCAGCTTTCAGAGCCTATATTCTTCCCTTAGTAGAGTGGATTCTTGACTTACAAACTCAATTCCTCCTGAGGGCTGATTGTAATTGAAGTTGGTCAATGAAGGCTCAGGTTCCTCTCCACAGCCTTCAAAGTCTCTCTCCTGCACACAGGCAGATCTTGGTGTCCTTAGAGAGACACTGGCCCAGGGTTTCTCAGTGAGCCCCACCTGGGAGAGGATGCTGTCATGTTCCTTCCAGAACTCTTTAAGGGATAATCTGTATCTGAGACCATCTGAAAGCACAAGTGACTGGCACTTGGTCTTAAGTTAGAACTAAATGTTTGGTCATGACCCAAGTTGTTCCTGTGTCGGGCTGGTTATAACTCAAGGATCCACTGTACTTGTCTAACTATATCTGCAGTCAGAAGCGTCTGAAGCCCTTGACCACCTACGTTATCACATGAAAGTGCTACAGGCTGACTTTATACAGTGGAAAGGTTCAATCAGCTCATAGCTCTGGGGGCTGAGAGTCCTGTACACATAAGGGCCAGTCTGGTGAGCGCCCCATGGTGGACAGCAGCAATGCACAGGGCACATCTTGGGTCAGTTAGTGGGAAAGAGGGGGAGCTACAGTCCCCATGGAAGGCACACACACAGCGACCTAGGGACCTCCCAGGAGGCCAGGCCTCTCAAAGGCCCTACCTCTCAAGTCAGCCGAGACCAAGCTCCCGGGCCCAAACCTTGGCAAACAACACCCAAACCAGAGCAGATGGCATTTGGAGTTTTCTAAGCTCAGTACTGACCCTGGAAACGAAAATCTGAGGGGAAAAAGCTTGAATTAGGCCCACCTGTGCCCATGCTTACCTCGGCTGTGTGCTTTGCCACATTTCCCACAATGACGATGACCTTCCCCTTGAGGCTCTGGAGTGTCGTGGTGAAAGGGCCCTGGGCGAGCTCGCCTTCCGCAGTGAAGGCGGCACTGAATGGGATGTTGATGCTGCTGGAAATGTGACCCCGGGTAAAGCTGAGAAGACAGCTTAAGGAAAACTTTGGTTTTCTTTTTGGTGCAGATGTGAATGTGTCAGAAACAGAGGTAAGTGGCACCCAGAGGGTAAGACTAAACATCTCCATGCTCACACCTAGGTGGTGGAGAAAGGTACAAGACCACCCAGAGAGGCAAAGGTGCCCCTCCTCATTAAGTGAAGAATTAGGAAAGTAACCCTGATGCAGCAGAGTGACAGTAATCGCATGGGGACACAATGTTCATGCCTTCCAATACGTTACTCCCACTGGGATTACAGCCTTGAAAGTGACACTGGGCAGCGGGTAATCTCAGGTCTAGTTTGATACTGCAAGTCAAGCGGTTGCTAAATGGACTCTTAGAATGGTTACACGCCATGAGCACTAGCTGGACACACTTCTGTTGTTGGGTGATTTCTCAGGTGAACTTAGCTCACATTTCCATTACTTCTAATTTTATGCTCTGTGAAGGGGATGATGTTTTACTCCTTTTGTACATTAGAAGGATTGTGATAGTTTAATTGACTATTAGTTTTAATTTAGGAAGTCACACGTTCCCTGTGGCTTGAACTACTGGTGGCATGTGCCTGACTGTCCCACTGGGTGGCATGGGACAGTCCCATCAGGTGGTACAAACTGCCAGATGGAATAGTCATGCACATACCACTGGTAGTTCACAGCTGCCTGGCAGCAAGACATACGAATTATGGCCCCACTATGAACGTGCTACAGTCATCCATTTACTTAAAATATGTAGAACTATCACAAGATCTTATAGAAAAAAGTATGCTCCAATAAATAACTAAAAAGCACTGTTGGACCAGGAGTGGTGGCACATGCCTAAAATTCCAGCTACTTGAGAGGCTGAAGCAAGACTTTTGCAAGTTCGAGGCCAGCCTGGGCAACTCAGTGAGACCCTGTTGCAAAATAAAAAGGGTGAGGATGTATCTCAGTGGTAAAACATTTGTCTAGCACGTGCAAGGCCCTGGGTTCAATCTCCAGTACTGAAAACAAAACAAAAAAAGTCCAATCGAATGAATGAAAATAGAATCTTTAGAAATTAAAAAAAGATGATTACACAGAATCCAGAGAAAGACCTTCTAAAATATTACTCATTAATTAAATAACTTTAAATAAATATATGTATATGATGCTTTAAGAGATATACCAGTGTTGCTTTAGGGAGGACAGGGAAAGTTTTCATTGATTGACAGCCACAATAAATAAAGAAATTAATTGGGCAAAGGGATGGAATGGAAGTGCGATAGAATGGTGGAGGGAATAAAAGGTTAAGACAGAAATTTGGGGCTTACTGTAGGAAGGCACACGGCCATTAAAGAGAAACGAAGGCTGGCCAGGGCCAGTGGGATTCAGAGAGCAGCAGGAAATGGGGGCAGAGGCAGGGCCTGCAGGGCCCACATAGAGGATACTGGCCTTTACTCCAAGGGCCATGAAAGTCAGGAAGGGTTTCTAGCAGAAGACCAACATATGAAGTTTGCACTAGGGTAACACTACGGAGGAAGGCTAGACAGGGAGTGAATGTACGGGCAATCACAAGAGGTCGAGACGACATCTCTTCCCTTTAACCATGAAAGGGATGTTTATGTGTTCAGTAGATGTTTCCCCCCAAACTTTTACTTTATGCCTCTTACACAGAGTTTTAAAAGATCACGACACAAGCAATATTTCCCCCCAAAACTTCCCACTGCAAATGGGCAGAGAATTGTTTATTGAAGTGATAGTGTCTCAATTGCGCCCGTTTGTATACCTATCTTTCTACCTCTCTCCCTCCCTCTTCATATCTCATTAATGGAGAGAGGACATATTTCAGGTGCCCACTCTCAAGAGTGATAGTGGAGAACATGGGTGAGGCCCTGGGTTCTATTCCCAGCAGTGCAAAAAACAAAATAAAGAATGAGGGAGGAGACTGACCACATTTCTTACATTTAAAATTTTCTACTCAGCTGCTACTTCACTGGTTTTTCTTTAAAGAAATACATTTGGCATTAACAGTGAGAGAAACAACCATAGGTAAGTTATGAAAAATGAAAAGAGAAATATAGAATCAACATTATGATTTTTGAGGCTATTTTTAGTCTCCTAGAATGGGTAGAGATTTATAATCATGGGCAGATTACCTTGGACTTCGTCAGCATTAGTTTCTTAAACATTTATAATTATTCAATGTTGTCAGGAGCAGTTTTCATAAACAACAAAGACCTCATTCTATGGGTATACTCACCCTGGTTAAACTTCCTTCTTTAGTACTGTTATTCTCAGTGGAGACAGTATCTTAGAGCGAAAGCTGTGACACAGCCTAGGAACCTAACTCCTCATTACCTTAGGCTGCCAGTCTGCTTACCAAAGGGCATTATCAGCTGTGAGCTTCTTTCTCTTAGCGCTCACAGCAGCAGATGCCACCCAAGCCTATCCTGTCACATGCGGTGGCACACTTTATGTGCCCTGCTACCCACTTTGTTTAGAAGGTCCCCAGCCACTGCTTGTGGAAAGGGGAGCGGGGTGACCTGCAGGCATCAGATAACCCTGCCACGGCCATGGCTGACAGGACAGCAGGGAGAGGGACAGGCAGGTGGACAGTGATGTAAACTGGCCAATCGGCTCTCTCCCTTGAACATCCAAGGGCAAGATGCAGGATGTTAAGCACTCCAGTGTAAAATCAAGTCCCAGTGCCTCCGAAAGGAATCTGTCCAGTCACATTTTAGAAAATTAGAAGTCCCCTGCTCTGAAGAAAAACTTAATATCCATTTGGAAATAAACATCCAGTATACACTAACTGTACCTAAGAGTTATACATGAGCATCTGCATGATTTTGTGGATTCAGTATCATCTATTTATTATGTACCTTTGACAACAACTTCTTTCTAAACTTTTTAGTCACTAGAAATATGTCATAAATGTCTTCCTGCTCTAGAATTTTGTTGCTTTTTATGGTTTTTGCAAAAAACCCCACATATTAAATGTTAAGTTGCTTAACAGGAAGAAGTTATTTAGAACACAAAACTATTTCAAACCTCTTTTTGGTTACACTTTGGAAGAAACGAAAGCAATAGAGCAGTAAGCACAGTTCCCTATTCTTAGTTTAATCTAACCCAAAAGTCCTGGAAAACATTCATCCAAGAACAGTCTTTGTCATGAAACTTCCAGCATAAAAGACACCGAGTGAGCAAGAGTGGTGGTGGACAGGGCTCTGTGGCTGCCTCCCTGGCAAACAGCAGATGGGCCTGGGCACCTATCAGTACAGTTAGGCTGATTGGGCTCCTTGGCTTAATAAGGTGGACAATGAAGAAAATACTGGCCATTTATGATGGATCTTTCCTGGGTAGTTTTTTTTTTAACTTCCACTGCTTACAAAATAAATTTTCATGTGAGAAACATTGTAAGACAATTTGTAAATATCTTAAGGTGGTCGGATTATATTGTAAGGGTATGCAGTTGAATCAAATTTTTATCTTTTGAGTCATAATAAAATATTGTGCATATTAGGTACTCGAAAAAGGAGCAAAAACAAATGTTTGTATATGTTGTGCTTAGTTAGAATAGCGAAATAGACAATTTCTGACATTTGGTGACTGCATATGACCAACACTGACTGTGCTCACTCCTGAGCTAAGTCTGGCAAGGAGTGCAATGCCATGGAGAATGTGGTGGAAGAAGGTTTTTCTCCATGCTCCAAGGCAGGGATAGTGAACCTTTTAGAGACTGAGGGCCCAAACCGCAGCCCAAAACCCACTTATTTATTGCAAAGTGCTAACACTGAAATTAAACCTGTATATTCAAGTTTTAGTTTAGAAAAAACGCCTACATTAACATCTTTTGTCTTAAAAACAGATAACATGCATGCCATATGTTTGCCGACCTCTGTTCTAGGGACTCTGGTTTTATTTCATTGTCCTGCTGTGGAACACAAGCGTCTATAGATTTTTATACCAAGACAGCACTGCAGATAAACAGGCAGCAATCCGTGTTAGGATTATGACTGTCACTTCATTGCTTCCTTTATATTCAAGACAAAAATGGAAATTTGCTGCATTCACTGCTGCATTTTAAAAGCTACTGCTTGTCTGCATAAGCAGATATGGGGTCAGTGATACACTCAGAGGTTCTATATTTACCTGCATTCTAGTACCGAGTCTTACCCGACAGCAGGCACTGTGTAGAAAGTGAGAACTTAAGAACATATAGCTTCACAGTGCCCAGTTTCGAGATTACAAAGGAGACAGAGCCAAAGTACTTATGTGGTGGTTAGCCTCAATCATGTGCTTCTTGACAGTGTGATTCCAATGCCCACTATGATTTTCAGTTTGGTTTTGGCAAAAGTGGCAATGGAACCACTTCTAACCTCCCAGTGTTCAAAAGAAATTAGGAATTTTGATGACTCACTCAGAATTGAAAAGAAAACATAATTAAAAGTCAGCAGGAATTAAAATGAAATCTCTAATATGGAATAAAAATACTGCTTGAGGATCCCTACTTCAAAAATCTGAAATTCAAGATGTTTTGTGTGGGTTGGTTACTGGGCATTGAGCCCAGTGGCTGGCCTGAGCTTGGATTCCCCTCCTTCGCCTCCTGAGTGTTGGCACTGCCCGCGGGCATCACCATGGCCAGGCACTTTGGGTTTGCCCCCCGTTTTGTTCTTTTTAACAAAGCTGCAACTCAGCCTTGACTTGAAGCAAATGAGATTAACATTCCTTCAAAGTTATTTCTTTTTACAGATAATATCAGTTGGACTCTCATTTACATAACTAAGACCATGCTTAATATGAACTTCAGGAAATTTAATATTCAAATATTTGTAACTATTAAAAAAGTTTGGCTTGTGTATTACCTTTGAAACCACTAAAATTAATGACAAAATTTATACCACTACACAAGAAACACTTTCTATTGCCTCTTTATAATATGCAAGTATTGCTTGTTCCCAAATCCCCACAGTACTATACTGGAGAACAAGTGAGTTTGACTAAATCTCTACCTAAGCCTCC